CTGCCTCTCTGCCATGGCAATGCTGTGGATCAGTTCTTCTGTGAAATGCCCCACATCCTCAAGCTCTCCTGCTCAAACTCCTACTTCAGGGAATTTGGGATTCTCCTTGTTAGTGTTTGTTTAGCTGTTGGGTGCTTTGTATTCATTGTTGTGTCCTATGTGCAGATCTTCAGGGCCGTGCTGAGGATGCCCTCTGAGCAGGGATGGCACAAAACCTTCTCCACGTGCCTCCCTCACCTGGCTGTGGTCTCCCTGTTTCTCAGCACTGGCATGGTTGCCTATTTGAAACCACCCTCCTTCTCCTCCCCGGCTCTGGACCTGGTGGTGTCATTTCTGTACTCAGTGGTGCCTCCAGTAATGAACCCCATCATCTACAGCATGAGGAACAAGGAGCTCAAGGATGCTCTGTGGAAACTAATGGTCAAAAGTGTTTTGAAATCAGTGAACTGCCCACCTTTTTCTATGTAAGATTTATAATGCAGATTTTAACAGAATCAAACTGCCTGCTTTTGGTTTATGTGTTCATTTTCTAAGTGTAATTTATTGAATGTTTTATTCTGTGTTTTATGTATTCTAATTTTTTTCACTGAAATTATCATTATCCACATCAATTACTACTCAGTTTGTACCTGTGCAGTGTCGACCAGACATGCTGTACATGGGGAAGCAGGCTCTCTCCTGAATCTTAATAAAACAAAGGACATGCAATGACTTTGTCTGTCTTCCTTCCTGTGAGACATTTCTGGAGCTGTTGGGTCAGTTGTTCTCAGAAACCCACAATCCAGCAGGAAGCATACGGCTGTTAATCCAACTGTGTGGTGACTTCAGCCTGCAATAGCTGACGGGCCATCCCTTGGCTCCTGGCTGGGGTCTGTGCTTGCAGGCTCACATCTGTCAGTGCCTCTGACAGGCCAGCAGCAGCACCTGGTTTGCATGTTGGTTGTGAGATCCCCTTTTCCTCACTCCCTGTGACACCCTGCATACTAAAAGGACTTGGATATGCGTTCTCAGAAGTTTCCAGTCTTCCTTAAGGGCTTCTCCATTTTGCACGCAGAGGATTCCACTGTCTCCAGGATGGTCTGTGATAGAGAAATCATGTACAAAGATCTGACAAAAACTACCCCGGACCTGTAGGAGCCATCCTGGAGCATAGGTTGGTAGGTTGAAAGTTGCCCCTAATGAGATGAGGAGGTCAGGAGAAGCCTGGAGAACAGAGATGGGAGATGGAGGGGAGGGAAGAGGAGCTTGCCCTGCAAAAAATATAGATCTTGAAGAGGAAAGTGGGGTTCAGGCGATGTTGGTGCTGCTGTGACTCACTCAGACTGCAAAACCCACAGACCTTAAGCCTTCTTTGTGCCTCGAAGTGCATTCCTCACCCTGACAAGAATCCACCGCAACAATGCTGAACCTCAAAGCTTCTCCCGAAGCCCAGATTCAGAACTCCAGTACCCTAGCCATACCTTTACTCTCTTGCCCACTCTCATCCTTGGCCCATGGATGTCCAACCTTTTGGCTCACCTGGGCCACATTTAGTGAATGGAAGTTTTCTCAGGCTGCATACGCTCAAGTTTCTTCAAAAGCAAGGCTTCCTATTTATTTCCATGGGAACTACAACAAA